CATACTGTCTTGTGAATGGTAGCCATTTTTGTGTAAGTTCACTGTGGGTGTGTGTGASAGAGAAAATAAAACAGACAGGTTTTGAGGAACTGGCTTACATGACTGTGGGACCAGCAAGTCTGAGATTCACAGGGCAGGCTGGCAGCTGGACACTCACAGGCCCAAGCCGATGATGTTGTCTGGAGACAGAATTTCATCTTGCTCAGGCAAACTTCAGGTTAAGACCTTTTAACTGAACGAACAAAGCTCACCCACATTATTAAAGATATATATATCTTTTAATTATATATATATATATATATAATTTTAATTATATATATATAATTTTTCTTGGGCCAGGCTGATTTTTTATATTTGTTCTTTTTAGATATACATGACAGTAGAGTGTATTTTGACACATTCTACATACATGGAATATAATTTCCCATTCTGGTGATTGTACATGATATGGAGATACACTGGCTGTGTATTCATATACGAGCAAAGGAAAGTCCTATTCCTATCCAATTCATTCTACTTTCTTTCCTATTTCCATCCCCCCTCCTTTCCCTTCATTCTCCTTTGTCTAATCCAGTGAATTTCTATTCTTCCTCTCCCTATCCTCCCTTGTTATGGATTAGCATCCAGATATCAGAGAGAAAAATTGGCCTTTGCTTTTTTGGGGRATTGGTTTATTTCACTTAGCATCGTAAGTATCCATCTTCTGTTTATTTACATGTAAATGCCATAATTTCATTCTTCTTTATGGCTGAGTAAATATTTCATTTGTGTATATATACCACATTTTCTTTTTTTTTGTATTTATTTTTTATTTATCGGCGGACACAACATCTTTGTTTGTATGTGGTGCTAAGGATCGAACCCGGGCCGCCCGCATGCCAGGCGAGCGCGCTACCGCTGAGCCACATCCCCAGCCCACCACATTTTCTTTATCCATTCATATTAAGAATGATTTTTATTTAAAGGCAACTAATTATGATAGTAAATACATATATACAAAACACCTGCAGAGCAACACCTAGATTAGTGTTGTGTTGAATAACCAAGTTGACACATAGAACTGTCATGCCTGGTTATGTGGGATCATCTGACATGGCTCAGAGAGGTCTAAAATGTCTTAACTCAAGATTTGAAGAGAAACAGGGGGAGATTGGGGAGGGCAGGATTGTGTGACAGAAAAAAAAATAAATTTCATGGTCTCTTTTGTGGCAACCTCTCAGTTCCAAGGATGGTTCTGCTGTTGGTACTATTTTGCCATGGGAACTCTGGGAATAACTAGAGACATTTAAACTAAAATCCAGTGAAGAGAACTGAGTGACATTAAAAAAAAAAAAAGCATAAAGACAAAAATACAGACTGCAACCTCTCAAAAATAAAAAATACAATTTGTTTATTGAAAAGAAAAAGTTCAACACATAATCTATGTGCGCAATCCAAAACAAGATCTTTTACACATTCTGGCAAAATTCACATCTCTACACACACCACGGCGGAAAGACATCTCTGTAGGCACAGATGCAGTTCTGTCGTCCAGACGTTGTGTATGGTAGTTCTCTTATTCCTTGTGTTCATACGTCCATCAGCTTAGTTTACAACAGTCACCTGATTTCATTGTTCATCAAAAGAAAATTGCTTTCCCGGCATCACCTTGATTTACACCACAGAACACACCTAACAGCAGGTACCTTCCACTGTTTTGCACCTCCTGTCGTCTGATAGCTCTGTATCAGCACCATTTATGTCCTCTGGCCAGGAATGACTCAGTGGTTTGAAGGAAAAGGAAGTACCCTCAGAGGCRGAGGCTGAGGCTGCCCGAGCAGACAGCCAGCCAGACTAATTGTCTTTGAAGTATTGACCATGATTCTCAAAGCAACCCACATTGCATTATTTTCCTCTAATGGTCTCAGAGATTTGTAATGTACTTTGGAAAATTAAATTCTAAGGCTGACTTGAAGCCACCCTCGTGATCACCACATCCTGCCATCTCATACTGTYGGTCTCCTGTTGGACAAAGCAGTGCCTGATTCCCACCGGGGGAGACACTGAGATCTGCCATGCAAGAAAACCACAGGTGACAGAGCCCTTGCCAGGCACAGGGACTAGACACCACTGAAACAGACAGAAGGGAGAYGCTTCACTTCTGAGAAAGGTGAGGATGTGTAGTGTTAGACACTGATGATACTGGAGGAGAGACAAGTTTGAGAAGCAGAAAGTAAGAGGGGAATAGGGAGAYGAAATGATTTTTCTAATGATTGTTACTACTTGTCACACTGACATTATTACCTTTCCCAGGGATAGAGAGWGTGAGCAGCAGGCACCTGCCAACGGGTTTGGCTGGAGAGGTGAGACAGGAGAGGTGAGACAGGACAGGGTGGGTCTAAGCTAAGTCATGCCTCCAGGTCACACATCTGGCCAGGGCTTGTGCAGGGGAAGGGCTCCTAGCAGCTGGATAGCAGCATGACATAAATAATGCCACTTGTGAATGGTGATAACGCCTGGGCAGGGTGAACAGCCAATGCCAGGTTACACTGCTCCCACCAAGTGCCTGCATTTATGGGGAAGGACACTGCCCACCGGGAGCTGTAATCCTGTGCCCAACAGCAGCATTTTAGAGGATTCTGAGAAAGCTACCTGTGGGCTCCTGGAAATCTGGGGATGAACCAAAGAGACGGCAGTAGGAACWGAAACCCCACGGTTTGCTTTTGGTACGTCCAGCATGCAGCCTCACACTAGGGAAAACCACGGCTCTGTGATCAGTTTTCTACTTATCTGAGTGCACTCTCCTGAGGGGCACAGAGCACAGTGAACAGCTGGGAAGCCGGCTCATAGCCAGCATGGGAAGACACAGAAAGGGCTCTGACTCGGCAAGCACTGTGGGCAGCAGAGGAGCTTCCCAGCTGGTCCAGGGCTCCTTGCAGCACAGGAGGAAGGGCTTCCCCCAACCCACCACCTGGCTTTCCTCCTTGCCCATAAGCTATGCAACTGCACAGCTAGGAAGGCCCTGACTGGGTCCCCTTGCCTGGGTTTTCTGAAATAGCCATGCAGTCAGGTTGTCAAAGCAATAGGAGCACAAAAAAGAGATGAAGCAGGCCCAGGCCCAGGCCATGCCAAATGAGCTCCCATATCCCTACACACTAAGGCCAGCTCTCCTGCTCGCCACGTTCTCTGGGCCAGGGGCCTTGAATCAACCGCTCACATTTGCTACGAGCTGGAGCCGGAGGACCTCAGTATCCTTTGGTCCTGCTCTCAGGTCCCAGCATCACAGTCCCAACTGCAGCAATGGCCTGGGCAGGGTTGCTTCTAGCAGCTCTGAGCATACAGAGGCCTCCAATGAGGAAGCTATGGGCAGGACACAAAGTCTGGCCCCTTCACTGGCATGTACCTGTCCACTAAAAGCAACGCTCAGGACAGCTACAGGAAGATGGGGGGTGGGGGGAGACTGACAGTTGGGCTGCCGGAGCCCAAGTTAGGGAACAGGAAGTGACAGTTTCTGAGCCCACTTTGGTAACTTCTAGAGACCTGAGACTTCAGAGGGCAGTGCCTCTGCTAATCCCGTCTGGGACCTTGGTCACATAAGCACCTGTTAGAGACGACCAAAGAGCAGCAAGGGTGGGTAAAAAGTGTCATTCTCCTAAGGGAGAACAAGTAAACAAAGGTGATGTCTTCCTAAGTCATCAGAAGGAAGGTTGGGACATGAGAGGGTCCACTCTTCCCATCGCCTTACTAAGAAGGTCAGACCTCATCAGCTCGGTTGGCTTTGGAACAGAAGAGAGAGAAAAATCTAGGCTGGGGGGCGGGGGGTYGCAGGTCTGATGGGCTTTGGTGAAACACAAAAGCAAATCCCTGATAAATTCTTGCTGTTTTCCCTTAACCTACTTTCAAACCAAATCATCTCTAGGTAAGCAAGGGCCTGGCAACAGGAATGCAGGAGACACAGAAGCTACTGTACACACACACACACAGTGGAAGAGCTGGGTAGTTAACAAATGCCCATCTGAAATACTTCACACACCAATAGGAAGGAAGTGGCAGCTCAGAGCAGGGTAACCCATCTCTCTCTGCCCTCCCAAGTTGCTCCCTCATCTGCAGGCTGACCTTGAGGCTGCTCAGGATGCCTGGGAAAGGACAAGGGCAACAGTTAGTGTTCATTGGTTCCTTTCAAGGTCCAGGGCACAGAGGCTGCTGGGGTGAGGCACTGCTTCTGCCCTCGCCSCCCCCCCCCCGTGATTATAAAAAACCCAAGCACCATGCATAGTGTCAGATCATCTGCCTAAATTCTACGAACTTCACAGCTGACTTTGTGCACACTGACCGCAGCCTTCCACCCATGGCGACAGAGTGGGTGTCTTCCCCAGAGGTTGGCAAGTGAGCACTGCCAGCTCTTTCTCTTGTCAGGGGATGAGATTAAAAGGGGGGCCAAGATGCACTACGCAACCACAGGATAAGCCTCCCTTGACCAAACCCTCCTCCACTTGGCCACGCATGCCTTGGGCCCAGAGCACGCCTGAGTATTTCCCTAACACTCTTGTGTTCAGCACGAGGCCAGGCTGACCAATGGGAGGAAAACCYGTGCCTCCCCACGGAGGCACACATGTAGGCGATCCTGCTTCAAACCCCTCGGGGTGCTCCGCCAAGGGTGTGCTGAGCACCTCAACAGACATTTTCCAGAGCAAGTTTCTTTTCAGCAGGAGGAGCTGACTCAAGAAACAATTGAAGAAGAAACAATTCCTCCTAAGGACCCCAGATCCGGAGTCAGACCTTAAAAACCCTCATCTTAAATAAAATATAGATACTGTCCATTTCCACAGCACTGCGTATCTTTTAAGAGTGAAAGCAATGAAGAATATAGTGTTGTGACCTGTGTGGAAGAACTCCGAGAAGGTGTGGCCAGAGAGGGAGAAGATTAAAAACTCTCCAGTGTGGGGTCTGGCTTAGAAGCACTAGGTAGATCCAGACACCCCCTGGAGACTTGAATAGGTAGAATACTGAGGTACGATTTAGGGAAAGAGATTAGAAAGAGGCCTGGCTTTATAAAGAGGGGAGGCTCCCACTTTTTGAATCTGGGTCTGGCCTGGGACAGGAGGAAACAGCAGGTACGGGGGACTAAAATTGTTAAAGTGAGCTGTGCAACGGGGAGAATCTGGGTGAGGTTCTAAGGGCGAGGGCATGAGGAGGGGGAGAACAGAAAGTTCTGGGTTAAAATAGGTACAAATGAGCTGTCATAGAGCTGTCCCTAGTGCACCTCCCAGGTGTCTCCCTGCCCCGCCCCCACCCCCAGTCTTACCCAGGCCAGGGCACCCAGATGCCACATAGAAGGGTACCCAGACAGAGCCTGCATTTCCCAGAGGCTGACCACATCAAGGCTCTGGGGACAGGTACTGGGGGCACACACAGGGGTGGGGGTAGGCAGGTGCAGAGAAGGCACCCAGATCACTATACAGAGGCACTGGTGGAGTTGATGGAGATGGGAGCACTGCTTGGCTGGATCAGCTCATTAAGGGCCTGGTAAGTCCCCGCCACAAAGCCCACAAAACCCAGGATGCTGATAAGGGCGTCCTTGGCAATGGTGAGGGGGTTCATGCCCTCTGAGTAGTAGGTGGTGATCTCCAGCAACGGGGGGATGATGAGGGCCAGGGCGCTGCTGCTCACGGAGCCCACCAGGGAGATGACCAGGTCCAGGCGGGGGACGAGGATGGCCAAGATGCCTGTAGGGAGAGAGCACATGCCTGTTCACAACTGCTCAGGGYGGGGAGAGAGGCTCTCACTGATCAACCATGTCGCCAGCATTCTGTCCATGTTCTGGAATGGAGAGCGCTAAGAAAGCTTAGACACCACCCCATCCAAATCTCTCGTTCCAGAGATAAACAAGCGAAAGCTCACAGGTGTGGAACCCCCAGCGTCTCCTGGCTCAGCATACTTGCCTTCTCTGGGGTCTGGTTCTCCGTGTGCGCAGTGACAACATCATGGTGATGGCTCCACTTGACCCAGTGGGATAGAAACAGCACCAGGGCAGCAGTCAGGGGAACAGAGCCCAGGGAGTGGGTGGTAGGAGAACGTGGTTTGGAGCACAGGCTCTGGACTAAGAATGCTCCTAGCCAGCCCCCTCACTAGACAGCTCATTACTTTCTCTTTTCTCAACAGCTAAATAGGGACGGTAGAATGCAATCCCTGGTGTAAAAAAAGTCAGAGCACTAAAAGTGCATAATCGATGCTTATGTGTTTGCTAACTTCACCACCAGGCCCGGCTTATAATAAGTCATATGGTTCAGGGCAAAGAAGCTCCTAATTTGAGCCTCAATTTGTTTACAGATGAAATAAGGTGACTATTCTCATCCTGGATGACAGCGAAAGTCTCACATGACTCAGAAGTTTTAAGAGGCCATACATTCTAGTTTGGGCTCCTTGGAGTATTCTGGGATGCTTCCCCAGCACTCTGATAGCCGGGAAGCCCCGTGTGCAGCCCAAGAGGGCACAGCGCAGCAGCAGCATTCCCTTCCCATGGTTGTGCCACAAAGAGCAGCTCCCAGGCCACTGGTTTTATCCCAACAGAAGATGTGTGAGTGATTGCTCAAGTGCCAACCACATGAGTGTTTCCACTGACACACAAGCCCCTGAGAGGATGGAGGCCTCTGTCATCAGGAGAAAGAGCTCCTGGCAGGAGACAAGTGGAGACCTGCTCCCAAATCTGGGGAACCGACAGTCTCGCCCTATAACCTGGGTGGACGTCTGAACTTATGGTGGAGGAGGTAAGTGCAGCCAGACATATGCTGCACTTGGTGGAAACACTTAGAGGAAACAGGAACGGAAGCTTGTAGGGTCACAATCAGTTCTCAGTTGAACAGAGATCTGTCTTCCTTCCACTTCATCATATGTCATAAGCAATCTCAGAACTGGTTCTTGCCTTCACTACAAAGTCTACGCAAGACAAGCATTCATAATATTATCCATAGAGATTTTAAAGAGGGCACACATTTCTCCTAAAGTTAGGGCTGCAGAGGGGAAGCCCTACTTCCTGTCTTAGCTGGACCACATGCCTCCTCCAGACCCTCAATAAAGCCCAACACTGGAGAAGATAAGGAGGTAGGGAGGTTGAAGAGTGAGCTTCTCAATAACAGGAAAAAGAAAGAGAAGCAATACTCAGCCCTGGGTTCCAGAGCAGGCTTGTGTTTTGCTACCAAGCAAAATGGCTTTCATTCCAGGATAGCAACCAACCACTTAGGGAAGATAGGGGGCAACTGAGACCCCTCCAGGCACTAAATATCTTCATTCTGTGAGTTAAACCTTCCTAGAAAGAGGAAATCAGGAGAGATCTCAGGAAGCAGCRGCCTGGGAACACCCCGCCTCCCCACTCTTCCCTATACTCCCCCAAAGTGTTTTCCCTACCCCGGCTACATGGCTCTTGGCAGCAGCCTAGCTGTGGCCTCCACGGAAAGAGGCACTGAGGAGAACCTAAAACTAGACCACGTGTGAGTCAAGAGACTGCGCTATTACACAACTGTGGCTTCAGACGCTAACAATGTGATCCTGCAACCGCTGAAGCTCCATGAGGCAAACGGCCAGGCTCAGAAAAGGAGCTGACTGGAGCCTGTGGCTTTGGACCACATTAGAAAGGGCTGACTCATACCCAAGGGAAGAGCAAAGCACTTCGAAGGATAAACTCGGAACTACAGAACGACTGGGACTCTCCCGGCTCCCGAGGCAGGAAGCTCTTGCTGCTGCTCTTAAGATCAATGTTCGGGTATGATTACACAAAGGATGTGACTGTACATCATGCACAATCAGAGAAATGAAAAGTCGTGCTCCTTTTGTGTACAAAAATTAAATAAAATGAAAAAAAAAACAATGTTTGGTGAAATCCACCAGATTAATTTTTACTACTTTTTAAAAATTAACTAAGTCATTATTTTATTAAGGTCAAGGGATTTGTCATCATTCTACAATCATGGAAATACTGATTATTCCCCCATATTTTTTATTGGTACATTATAATTATATATAAAGTGGGATTTGTTGTTATATATTTGTACATGCACATAGCATCACAATATAATTTGGTCAGTATTGTTACACATTGTTCTTTTAAATGTCTAGAAATATGCCTTCAAAATAGCAATAATCTTGAGCAGATATATAATTTAATTTAGTACACAAAAGCAAGAGAAACAGCTGGTTGCGGGGGTG